CAGTGCTCATCCCGACAGGTGCCCTCCTCAATGCCCATCACCCACTTTCCCCTCCCTCGCACCCCCCATCAACCCTCAGTTTGTTCTCAGTATTTAAGAGTCTCTTATGGTTTGCCTCCTTCCCTCTCTGTAATTTTCCCCCTCCACCGTCCCCTGGTCTTCTGTTGAGTTTCTCAGAATCCACATATGAATGAAAACATGTGGTATCTGTCTTTCTCTGCCTGACATACCTGTGATGTATTTGGCCAGGTTCTTTTGTAGTACCCTTTAAGTAATCTTTTCTTCTGTGGTGTTTAATCTGCTGCTATCCCCGTTCAGTGTATTTTTCATTTCAGATATTGTATTTTTTTACCACTATAGTACTTTTTTTCTGCTCATTCACATTCATGTTTTCTTTTACTTTCTTAAATATATGGGCCATACTTACAATAGGTTTATTATATCTGTGTCTGTCTTTTCTACAATCTGGGCTTTTTCTATGTCCATTTCTGCTGATTGATGTTTATCTTGGTTATGGGTCTATTTTATTGTTCCTTTGGATGAGTGGTTATTTTTTATTAGATGCCATACATTGTGGATTTTACTCTGGTTGGTGCTAAATTTTGTTAGATTTCTGAAAACATCATTGAACTTTATTAAAGTATAGTTAGTTTACTTTTCATCCACTTGGTTCTTTAAGAGATCTGTTTTTAAGCTTTGTTAGGGCAGGTCCAAAGCAGCCTTTAGTTGGAGCCTGATTTTACAGCAGTAGTAAAACAAAACCACTTTGAACATTCTATGAGGCATCACGTATTTTAGGAGGTTTTTCCACCAGCTGACTGGAGCATGAACTAGTCACCAGTTTTTGTGAGCTTTCAGGATTATCCTGTTTATTCATCTTCTGTGGTTCCTTCCGTGGCTGAGGTTAAATTCTTCCCAGCCATGCATAGTTCAGAAGTCTGCTCAAGACTCAAGTGGACAATTACACAGATCTGAGTTTCCTCTCTTGCTGTAGCCTCTTCCTCTCCACTACTGTGCCCTCTCACTCCTGAGTTCCGAAGCTTCTCATCAAAAAGGTAGTTCCCATCTAAGCTTTAATGACCTCCATCTCCTCAACTTGGCAAGTCCGCCAAACTCTGTTTGAGGTCCCCCATTGTTTTTTTATAACACGGAAACTCTCTCCAGGCAACAAGCCAGACCAGTGAAGAGCTCACCTACTTCATTTCTCTTCTTTCATGGATCAGTTTCCTGTGCTTCCTGTTTTCTAGTATTTAAAAATGTTTATTATGTATTTTATTGACTATTTAAAGGAGAAGGGATGTGCCAGTCTCAGTTACCACATGGTGGTTAGAAACACAAACCCTCAAATGCAAAATAGTTTTATTTTCTTTCTTTAGAGAGAAAAAAGAAAAAAGAAACTATTTTCCTCTGTTTATCTAGGGAATATAAAGTAGTTTTAAATAGCCTAAATAGAATGAAATTAAGATAACAAATCTCTAAATGTTACCAAAAATCTTAATATGTTTCAAAAGCACATAATGATTCCATTTATAAAAGTCTCGATTGGAAACGGGAGAGATGTGCTATTCTAGTGTAACACATATATGCTAACTTATTTCAAAGAATATATTATATTAATAAGCCGCAAGAGTGTGTCTCTCCCTAGAAGAGAAGAAATGATGCACAGTGACACTATAAGAAACTTATTGAATAATGAATGCCAAAAGGTTCACTAATTTTCCTAACAGTTTGAACCATGTATACGTAAATTAAGAAATCTTATTAACATTGATTATCATCTAAAATATTATCTAAATCTAGTGAGATCTATCAACAAAAGTATTATACAGTGTTAATAGGCATAGTGTGTGAGATACAGCTATTATATCATAATAGCTATTATTACATTATAATAATAGCTACAATGAGTAAAATAAACACTGATCATAAAAACACTGTGTTCAAAAATACTCTCATTTATTAGGGTATTTCTCTTACAAGAAAATGGGACAAAATAACTACTTAGACGATATTATTGATAAAGTTAATGATTATTAAGACAAAAATTAAGTTTTAGTTTTCCTAAATTGTGTTGGATTCAATTATTACACAACAATGACATAGGTAATAATTTCACTGAGATAATGTTACAAAAATAACATACTAGTTTTGTAAAGATAACTTCTATTTTTATCTGACTTGAATAATTAAAAGCTTTATAAAAAAAATTCCTAAACTCAGAAATTAGCAGTGCAGACAGAAAATACAATTGTCTATGAGACATCCTGGTGTGAATATTAATAAATAAATTAAAACATCCTTAATTTGAATCTTTCTGTACCTGCAATTCCAGTATGACTATATACAAACCAAAATACAGAGATAATCGAATTAACTCACTGGTTTTAAAAGTCACACTACTTTCTAGTCATTGGACCTACACTATAGCTAACTGATTGACTCTTTTGCTATTAAGGGAACATAGAGTCATGATATCTAATGGTAATAGCCAAATAACTTAAATACTTTCCTCTCTCTGGGAAGGCTTCTACTGTTTTAGCAATGTCTAAACCTTTGCAAAATATTTATTAGTGCTATAAATCTAAACACTTATCTGAACAAGAAGAGTAAATAATTTATTCTCACCATAGTTCCTAATGATGAGTATGCTTTTTCTTCTCCTTTATGTTCTCTTTCTTTTTTCATGAAAATCTATATTTTCTAGTGAAGTCTGAATACATTCGCTGAATGCAAATTTTGTCTCTTCAGGCTATTTGAAATGAAATTAGTAAAAGTATTTTGGTAATCCTGAGGGAGAAGGTTTAGGGGAGTGAGGAGAAAGGAGTCCAAATGATACGTAATGTTTTCAAGCCAGAATATTCTTTCAAGGATCAGATTTGTCAATTCTTTGCAGACACATAATTTGTGAGAGATTCTTCTACAAATACTTTCCCTTTAGGAAAATGTTCTCTTCAGCTCCAGATAAAATTTGCGTTTTTATGGCATTATTTGAGGGAAGTTGGTAAAGCTTTCATGAATAAAATATGTATCATTCTTGGTGGATCTTCATGGGGAGACCTTGACATCTCCAGGTGGCACCAGAAAGGATGTAAGCCCTACTGAAAACTACATCAATCAGCTCAGCTGAGTCTCCAGTTGACAGCAGTTAGCTAATGGATTGATTTCCACCTCATGAGACTCTGAACCACCATCCCCATCTGACCTTCAGAAACTGTGAGACTCCAGGTGTTTATTGTTTTAAGCTACTGAATTTTGGGGTACCCTTTATGTATCAACAGATAATTAATACAACTCATAATTAATTTGCAAATTGAGGCAGAGAAGAATTAAGTGACTTCCCAAAATTATTCAGGCATTCAGTGACTATGTTAGGTAATATTACTTACCTAAAAATATCCATTTCCCCTACCATATCTCTTAGTGATATAAACCCAATTAAGTTGTGCTTCAGAGAAAAATGAGCAAACCTAGGCAGTGATTTTTAATTTATCTAAATCAATCATGGTAATTCCGCCAGCTATACTGGTTGAAATTTTACAGAAAAAGATGCGGCAAAATATTGGCCAACAAGAAATTAGATGAAAGACATCGGAGTAAGGTTTTCTCTGATAAAAAAGAGATGCTAAGGGGAGCCTGGGTGGCTGAGTTGGTTAAGCGTCCAACACTTGATTTCCACTCAGGTCATAATCTCAGTTTTCATGAGTTCAAGCCCTGCCTCGAACCCCTGCTTGGGATTCTCTTTCTCTCCCTTTCTCTCTGCCCCTCCTCCTGCTCATGTGCTCTCTCTCTCTTTCAAGATAAACAAACATTGAAAAAAAGAGAGATGCTAATGTAGAAAAGCTTCTTTTACTCCTGCATGACAATATTATACATTCATTTGACAGCCAGAAATCACTGGCGGACATCTGGAGACATTGAGAAGTAGTAGATTTGTTATGGACTGAACGTTATCCTCCAAATTCACTTGTTGAAGCCCTACCTGTGAGTGTGATGGTATTTGGATGTGGGCACTTTGGGAGAATAATTCAGTTTAGATGTGATAGGTGGGGCTCCCATGATAGCTTTGTATCCTTGTAAGAAAAGGAAGAAACCAGAGCTCATTCTCTCTCTCTCTCCACTGACTTACACTGGGGAAAAGTTGTGTGCAGACATAGTGAGGAGGTAGACATTTGCAGGCCAAGAAGAGAGCTCTCATTGGGAACTGAATCAGCAGGCATTTTGGACTTCCACTTTCCAGAACTGTGAAATATAAAGGTTATTTTTAATTTGTTTTTAATGTTTATTTTTTATTTATTTATTTTTTTGAGAGATAGAGAAAGAGAGCAAGTGAGGGAAGGGCACAGAGAGAGGGAGACACAGAATTCAAAGCAGGCTTCAGGTTCCAAGCTGTCAGCACAGAACCTGATGTGGGGCTCGAGCCCACGTATGGTGAGATCATAACCTGAGCCAAAGTAGGTGGCCTAACTGACTGAACCCCCAGGCGACCCAGAAATAAATGTTTTTTTTAAGCCACTTAGTCTCTGGTATTTTATGATGGTAGCCTGAGCTAAGACAAAGCTTAATAAGAAAGGCAGAGTGAAAAAAAATAATTTAGGATTTGCTGATATTGGATATGTTAAATGATCTAACAGTGGAATGACTCTAAATCTATCAGATAATAACTTGGCACATTGGTTAAGCCATTTCTGTTTGTGTCTTTTGTTAGTCAGCTAAAAATATCTTCATGGATAAAAATGTTAGAGTTAAGAGAAGATATAACTACTAATATGACTACATTTTTGTTATTCAACCACTTTTCCTGTACTCCAGCATTCTTCTGTTGTACCAACTGGCAATTTTCTACAAAATGCAGACATTACAAGCAAAAACAAATATATACAGACATTATGTGTTATAGACTCATCAGCTAGCTTTGTAAAAATTGTCTAGGATGAATGGTAAAAATTCTGCTTTCCTGCTTGTGAGATCCTAGGCATCCCTGAACAAGCCAGAACACTCACGCTGACCCAAGGGAGAGCTAGGGTCCCTCTGAGGGGTCCTTGAGCAGTGGCCACAGCCCTCAGCCCTTCTCCTGTGCAGCTGTGAATGCACAAGTACAAGCACAAACACAAGAGGATGCAAGATGACCAGAGACAGAATGAATCACAGGCACCATTTCATGACCATGCAGAATGGAACATGGTGGTCATCCTGAAGTCTCAGTGCCCTGAGCTCCAGAGCCACTCCCCCCACCCACACCGACCTGTGCTTTCACTCACTCCTTCAGCCTGTAAGGATCAGATTTGTCATTGATATTTTTCTTTTGTATTTTGATAAACACTGAAGAAGCTGGAGCTGTTAAACTTTATCTTGGGGAAATCCTAAGAACTGGTGTATTCGGTGTCATGGAACCTGTTACTGCTTTCTGTACACAATTACCAATCAACTGTTTTGTATACTTGTTTTCAGTTCTCATTTTCACAAGCAAGCACTGTAACTGTAGCTCTTAGAATAAAATCTCTTAACTATTTAAAAAATGAAATGAAGTAAAAATAATCTATTATCTTTCCAACAGTTGATATCTTGCAGCATGTATGTCTATCCCTGTTGTCTTTTTTGTGTTTTTGTTCTTATCTATTGAGTCTATTTTCTTTGTGCTTGACTATAAACTAGTCACTGAATTAGACATTATATGTTTAAGATTGGTTTTCTTTGTTGCTGTTGTTGTTTTTAACCTTACTAGGAATTTAATTAAATACTTGGATGTGTAAGCTAATGTTTTCATCAAATTTGGGAAAAAATGCCTTTGTGCTTCTTTTTCACAAGAAGCCAAGATCTTTTATCCACTTTTCTGAAATGTCAACTATAATTCTGATATGAATTTAAATTTTGCTATTATTTTTCCCGTTTGATTTTTTATGATCAAACACATACCTCATTACCTAGACATAAAAAAGATCTCCACATACATCTAAAAGGAGCCCCAGAAAGAGAAGACAGTTAAATGAGATAGAAAAATGTTTGATGTATTAATAGCTGAAAATATCCTCTGGGCATATATCTCAATGTATCATCTTTACATGTTTTTTTTTTTTAAATTCTTCTCCTGTTAAATAAATATACTGATGAACTTTAATGAGGGCAGAGTGATCTCATTTTTTTCCTATTAATTCTGATAGTAAATCTTATCTCAAAACTAGAAAAGTACTCATCATCTTCAATGCACAGCTTTCTTCCTCTTCTATTTTGTAATCCATTGTTAGTTTCAGCAAATGTTATTTTACTTTAATTTTTGGCTCAGTATTTGGAATAGGACATCTTTATTTAAGGTCAGTTTTGATATCAAACATTGTATTTTTTCCTTTAACTGCCATGCTAACAAAATCCTTTCCTTCTGAACTAAATATTAGTGATGGTTTCAGCAAAAAAAAATATATATGTGTGTGTGTATATACATATATATATAGAATGTTACAATTACTAACTAGAATTGCTCTGCATAAATTGAAGAGTAACAGCTAAAGTGTGTTAGAAGATATATCCTGTAAGCGAAGCAGTGTTTAGATCTTCCTGGAAAAGCAGATGTACAAGTAACCACCCCTGCTGTGCACTATTCCTACAACACCTCTTCCTTAACCATTCCCAACTTAATATTTCAGTGTATATTGATTTAATATCTGCCCATTTTAACTTAAGTATAAGTTGCACAATAGAGAATTTTTGTTTCTAGTATTATTGCAATAGAGGGTGTTGTTTGTTTTAAGTTTCGTGCGTGCCCTATTCAATTTAGGATGACCATAGTCTGGGTGGCTTATAAATAAGAGAAATGTATTTCTCAAATTCTGGAGGCTGGAAGCCTGAGGTCAAGATGCCAGCAGATTCCATTACTGATGAGGTCTGAGTCCTAATTGCACACTGCCAACCTCTCATTGTGTCGTCATACGGTGGGAAAAAAATGAGGGGTCCTTTTATAAGGCATTCACAAGGGCTCAATCCCTATGACCTTATCACCCACTAAAAGTCCCACTTCCTAATACCATCACGTTGTGGGGTAGGATCATTTTGAGAGGACATTCATTTTGAGAGTATTTTCCCGAGATACAAAGGGAGGAAATTGGGATAGTAAACTATTACCTAAACACACACATTTTCTGCTGATTGTTTTCAGCTATATTTCAACAGACACTTGTATGTGGCCCAAAATGACCATGAATAATTGTTGCTTTTTTACAGTGCTGAAGTGAAACCCCTGACAGAAAAGGCAATTCTTAGTAAAAGGTAAAAAGGCTGTTTCTGGAGTTCTCTGCCAGGACTCCTTGTATTGAAGTCTCAGGTCCATCGTGTTATTAATTGGATGATATGGTGCAAGATAACAATCCTGAAATTCAGTTTTCTCATCGGTAGAGTGAGAATCATACTGGAATTTTAATTCTGGGGCTGTTGTGAGGTTTAATGAGGCAACTTGTATTCTGTGATCATAAATATGTCCAAAACATGGTTGGCCCTTAATATTAGTAGCTATTATTTTTTGTTATTTAGACAGCCTTATCAGCCTCCATGGAAGGATGGTCTTTCAGTGAGAAATAGATCTCTCTCTTCCCACGGCTAAGCAAAAGCAAACATCTCTTCAGATATTATTAGTTTGATTAGGTTCAGTAATTGAACCTGAGTTACATGTAACAAGGCCATAGAGACAGCAAAAGGAATATTCAATTCAGACTCTGGTCTTGTCACTCTAAAGTTCACCCTATTTCCACTGGATCATTGCATCTTTTTTTTTATGTTTATTGTTTTGAGAGAGAGAGGTGGGTGGGGGGTGGAGGGCAGAGCTTTTCAGTCAGTTTAAAACTTAACTACTTAACCATTTAATTTTTTAAGTATTTTGTGTATGTGTGTCTGTGCGTGTGTATGTGTGTGTGGATATTATAGGAAAATTTTTAGGAAGCCTAGAGATCTACAGTAGAAATAATTGTACAACATCATGCTGCCTTCCTAGCTGACAAGTATTTAACTTTATTAAATATTTAATGGTTAAGTGAATATTACAAAGATGTCTCTAAGCTTTGACTAGTATGTCTCAATAACTTAAACATTCTAAACCTCTGTATTATGATATAATTAATAGAATAGCTCTTTAAATTGATGTAATATTTTAATAAATGGTATTATTAGAAAAAATGGGCCATATTGATTTAGAAATAGGTAGGGAGTTATTTCAAATTATGTAGGTATATCTTTCCTAAGCGGTGTATTCTGTCATTATAAATGGTAGGACACAATTTTGTATGTGGTCTATACACACCCATAATTAGACATACTAGTAGTAAAAGAAAGAAATGAAAAACAGGACTTAAACTTACTTTATCCATAGTATCATGTAAAACTTATAAACCAAAACACAATCTATACCTTGGAATTGGTAAAAGATTGTTATTTTTCTAAGAACATTATTTTTCACTGTTTTTTGATCTACCATGTAAAATTTTATCACAAAAATGATTTATAAAAATTCATATTCCAATCCATATTTTTGAGAAAGTCATCTTCACGTGGAGAAACAGCTTTTTAGTTACTTAAACTGTGTTTGCTTTACAATCGTAAATTCAATTCACTTATATAGACTCTTTAAAATACCATATTAATAGTTGACTCTTTTACTTTGTTACAACAGAACTTAAAACTATTATTTTTTTGACTCATAAGAAATACTTTTTATAAATTTGTTGTCAAGTGGTGACAAAAACAAATCTTTCCAATTGGGCAAGCATTTTCTTATTAGAAATATAAACTCATGCAAAAATTATCAGTTATATCTTTCAATAAATGGATGAAACTTGCTGCAAAAAATATCAAGGCAAGGTTTAGATTTTTTTCTAAAACCAACAAAGTAGAAAGTAGAATTAATTAGGTTAACGCATAGAATATTTCTAGTTACATTTAAATATTTTGCTGATGGTAAACATTTCTGAACTCACCATGCTAACAAAAAGCCATCTTTCACAGAAACTCAAGAGAGATATTTTTCTGTTGCCTCCAAGAATGTATCCATTCTTTCCTTTATCTGACAAATAAATACTGTTGCTTTATCTGACAAATATTTGTTAAATACATACTGCTTCATGGCAAACACTGTTACAGACAGTGGGTGTACTATAATAATATCCTTTAATCTTTGAACTCCTGGAGTTTCCAATTTAATGGAGTAGAAATAAAATATACAAATAAGCATATAAATATCAAGTTCCAAGTGCAATGAAGTAAAATGAAAGAGGGTAAGATGATAATGAATGTCAGAGAAGGAAATTACTATTTATATCAGGTGGTGAGAACAAGTTTTTCATAAGTGACTGATCGTAGGGTTAAAAGAAGAAAAGGAAGGTATATTAAGGAATTTATTGGGGAGAAGAGTATTCCAAATGAAGTAACAAAAAGTGAAAATATGCTACAGTATTCTAGATGAAAGGGTAAACCTTAGCAACTTGAGTGTAAAATAACCAGATGTTGTTATTTAGTATCTGGTGTCATTCTTGGAAAGGACTGGTATTGTGAAACTGTTACATTCATAGGAGCTCATTCATAGGAGTGGTACAATGAAAATGTGCAGACATGGAAAATGTTACAGGATCAGGGCCTGATAGCATGGCCAAGTGAAGAAAAATTACCTGCTTGGTCATCAAAAATGATGAGTAAAGCAAGTTGATAACTAAAAATGGCCCACAATACTTGGGCTTCCCATGCAACTTTTAGACATAAAAACTTGTTATGTGAAATAAGTTTGTCTAGTAATTAAACTTCTGAATACCATTCAATGCTAGAACTGCAAAGCACTGCCCTAGATATATCCAAGTATCAAATGTACACTGGCAAAATTCACAACCTGGAACCTTCATAGCATACATGTTAAATATCCTTCATAAGGGATGCTCCCAAAGCTGAGTACACTAACTACTAAAATATTTTTAACTATCATATTTATACATATTTTAACTCAGTTTTATGCTATCAAAGTAAATGTACAAGCACCCACTCTCTTGATTAGGCAACCTTATATTCTATTTAACCATTAGATTGATTTTAATACCTTTAATTTCAGAATATAA